GAAGTAAAACCTCCTTGAATTGCTTGCATTTTCTCAGCGACGTGATTATTTTTAGACGTTTAGAGATCTTGAGAGGTGAAAACTAACTTCACGACCTCAATTTCGGTATTTTGAAAATTTTAGCCAAATTTCGCTACAGAAGTGTCTATAATTTTTAACATTCCAGTTTCATGAGAAGCGGGAAATATCTTTAGATAATCGTCCACCATAGATTTCCCTAGGTGATGGGGCTGCCATCTACCATTGCCTAGAAACAACACCTCCTTGAATTACTTGCATTGGTTGTGCTATTTTCCTCTGGGTTTCGCTATACCTTATATTTCCTATTTGGTGTTATTCGTATGCGATGAAGACCTGTTGGCCTTCGATAAAAAGAGCTTCAGGTCTTCTGGTAGCTACTGAAAGACTTTTTTAATAAATATTTGAAAACCAGTGTTGCTATTTTCCTCTGGGTGGGGCTATATCCTATCATTCCTATTTGGTGTTGTCCGTACGTGATGTCGAAGTGACTAAAAATTGGCGTTTAGGGATCTAGAGAGGTGAAAAGTAATTTTGTACCCATATTTTCAGTGACTATAATTTTTAATATTTCGATTTCATCAGAGGTGGAAAATATTTTTGCTGGCCATACGGGTCGCCGCTACGTTTTCGATATTTTGAAAGTTGTAGACAAATTTTCCAACCGAAGCGAATAAACATGTCTTTCCCAAAAAATATCCTTCTTAGTTATTTGTTTTTCAATGCCCATCTCCAGATTTCCAATCTGAGTATCTGTAATTTAGTATTTAATTTTTCCGAAATAAACAACCTGCTAGCAGACAATTTGTAGTGTCATAATCTCCATATAAGGATCCCGACCGATTTAAGGAATTTTGAATCCGCACACCACATAGTAATGTGTATAAACAATTCTACCCTTTCGAACCCCACAACATTTTTACTTACTTTTATTATTTATTTAACAAATCAATTAGAAAAATATCAACATCTGACAGCATCATGCATGTTTGAAGAGACTATTCAAATTGTTGTTGCGGTTGTTTGCTTTAAATGCATGAATAAGATAGAAAAAAACCGCTACAACTAGCGGGATGATAAGTGATTGCATCAATATGGAAATTATTGAAAATAACAAAATTCCAGGAAATATTGATTTAAATTTAAATCTCAAGAGATTTTCCGACCACCAGCTATAGGTGAGAGAATTCTATTTTAGGTGCAATACTAAATTATCATTACCGATACTGAGAATAGAGATTTAGAAACCTTCAAAGCTAATACCACTGTCCAAAGAATTTAGGCTCAAAAAATATAAAAAACTAACCGGATGATAAGGGATTACATAAATGTAGAAGTTGACGGAAAAAAACTTCCATGAAATATAAAGAGCTAAGAAGAAGAAAATTTTCAAATATAATCCAAAGATCGTATGGGTTGCAAGTGTTGTAATATAAATTTCCCGACATATTATTGGTTTTACCATTATATGGCTTTAATTAAAGTTATAAAACTTGACCATAAGAACATGTTTATAGATTTTATATAGCTCTTTGGAAATGCTTACATATGTCAACTCCCTAAATAATTTTTCAATTCGACAAAGTGTTCGTCAATTAGTTTGTAAAATTGTAGTCAAAATCATTTTTCTAATTCAATGTTCATATTTTCATTTGGAACAAACGCTTGCAATTTGCAATAAAAACTTGTCAATGTCCGGCATGTGACAAGGGCACGCTTGCAAATGATGCGCATGCGCAGCAAAGTGCACTTCAAACGTCAACAAATAAATTTAGCTTAAGTACAGGCAAACAAAATTTGTTTTAAATCCGTTTAAAGAGCTGGGCCTAGTTTTCATTGTTCTGTAGGTAAATGTGTTGCATACAAAAATAACATCCAAACAAACACTCGTAAAAATTCAAAATTGTTTTCCAATTAATTAGTAATGGGGAAATATGGGTCTTAACAAATAAAAATCTTTTCAACATCGAAAAAATTAAATTTGCAAAAATATGTATGCTCTCCAAATAATTTATGGGTTCCCATTTTTGTGTGCATATCATTATGTACATTATATTATGTCAAGGTTGTTGCAATATTTGTTCTCGCTTCGCTCTATTCGCTTTTTGAAATCGTAGACGACAAATATGTATTTGTACAATTGGTGTCAATTTTCTCACTCAAATCTTGAAGTGTTGTTGCATATTTGAAATAGCTTTTAGAAATAATCTACTTAATATCATATCTTAGGGTGTAAACAAATTAATCGGTTATGATTATTAAGGGAACTCCATCATCCCAACACCTCCAACGATTCACACAACTGAAAGGGCACAAATTTGAAAGGGCTCATATCGGGCCCTCTATAAAAACGATATTTTTACTTACATTCCTTGAGACCCAGATAACCTACAGAGACACCCTGATGTCTAGATCATCCACCCAGACTCCCCGAGATCTATCTCTCAAATACTTACTGCAATGGGGCTATAAAATCAATAAAATCCACCTTCAGCTGGTTTACAAAACATGACTTCAACTAGTCTTGAAAATAAAAAAAAAACCGACCGATGAAAAGACTACCATCAGTTGGTCTTTAAAGACCGACTTCAGCTGATATATAAAGATCGACATCAGCTGGTCTATAAAGACCGACTTCAGCTGGTCTATAAAGACCGACTTCAGCTGGTATATAAAAACCGACTTCAGCTGTTGCATAAAAAACATCTTCAGCTCGAGCTGTTCTGTAATGAATATCTTCAGCTGTTCTCCAAAACCTGACCTAAGGTGCTTATAGCGATAACCTTCAATTCGCTTACAGAGACGGGATTCAGGGTAATGAATATCTTCAGCTGTTCTCCAAAACCTGACCTAAGGTGCTTATAGCGATAACCTTCAATTCGCTTACAGAGACGGGATTCAGTTGGTCTATAAAGACCGAATTCCATAAATACTGTAGGCAGTTGGTCTGTAGATATTGCCTCCACCTTACCTACGAAAGACACCCTTCAGCTCGTCTATAAAGACTGCCTTCAGCTCGTCTATGAAAGACTCCCTTCAAGCTCATCTATGAAAGACTCCCTTCAGCTCGTCTATAAAGACTGCCTTCAGCTGGTCTATAAAGACTCCTTTCAAGCTCGTCTATGAAAGACTCCCTTCAAGCTCGTCTATGAAAGACTCCCTTCAAGCTCGTCTATAAAAGACTCCCTTCAAGCTCGTCTATGAAAGACTCCCTTCAGCTCGTCTATGAAAAACTACCTCCTGCTCTTCTATGAAGACTCCATTCAGTTCAACCATAATGGCTTCCTCCATCGCGTCTATAAAGACTCCCTTCAGTTCGTCTATGAAAGACTCCCTTCAGTTCGTCTATGAAAAACTCCTTTCAGTTCGTCTAAAAAGACACCCTCCAGCTAATCTATAGAAACTCCCTCCAACGCGTCTATAAAAACTCCCTCGAGTCCGTTTATAAAGACTTCCTCCAGCCCGTCTATGAAAGACTCCGATCAGCTGGTGTATAAAAACTCCCTTAAAGCTCGTCTATAAGACTCCGTCCAGCTCGTTTATAAAGATTCCATCTTGCTAGTCAGATTAGCTATGATAATTATTTATATAGGCTGAGTAATAATTTTCCGAATAACTACTATATCCACTTCAATTAATACTTTCTTAGAAGCCCAATGTTATTATCATTTCAAGTTATAAACAAATATTGAATTTAATATCTATAATAGTAACCCCATCAACCTGTTCTCCAAGACCCATAAAAATTGTTCGGTATAAATAATTTAATTGCTTCTAATAAAATGTCATAATTTGCTCGAACAAAAATCTGCCAACAATATTTAAATTTTATCTTCATATCGGAAATTATAGAGGTCCAATTATTGACAGGTTTCTGGAGTGGTTAATTGCCAACCAATCAATACGCTTGTTTATAAGCTTAAGCTCCATTCAGTTGATATCATATTGCCTTCGAATTAATCTATTTTGATTAGCAATTACTTCGATGTTTCAAAGTTCAGCAGGTATGCAATCATATTTTTAGATGAGTTTGTTGGTGTTCCATATTTTTTTGTTTTTTTTTTTCAATTCGTTAATCTAATCTTTGTGATAAGACCACTAGTAGCACTTTCTTTTCTTTCACACTTTTTCCTGCTTCCAAAAAAAATAATGACTAGCATTTTTGTTGTGTTTTATATTTTTGTTCAATATTTGATTTAGTTGGGTGATAGTTTTATACATATTGTAAAAAAAAATTGAGTTATCGCAAAAGAGGAAAAGTGTCTAACTGAAACTTGTTGTTATACACAAACTAATGTCAGCTGATGGCTGTCTTTAAAGACCTCATGAAGGCGGATTTTATAATCCGGCAGAAGTCGGTCTTTATAGACCAGCTGTTCGGAATCTTTATAGATCACCTAAAGGTTAAATATATATGAACTGGATATATTCTTTACCTACAAGCTGGAAGGGATATTTATAGACATGGAAGGAGTCTTTATAAACGAGCTGGAGGGGACTTTGTAGATGAGCTGGAATTCGTCTCATAGTCGAACTTAAGGATGTCTTTATAGACGAGCTAGAAGGCGTATTTATAGACAAGCTAGAAGAAGTCTTTATAGTCGATCTGAAAATCTTCTTTATAGACAGGTTGCCTTTATAGACAGAATGGAGTCTTTGTAGGCGAACGGAAAGGAGTCTTTTATAGATGAATGGAGGGAGTAGTAATTGGTGAGAGGAAGATAGTATTTATGGCAAGAGGGTGGGAGACTTTATAGACAAGCGGAATAAAATCCCTACAGAAGAAATCCCTTGTAGTTAAATTTTCCAAAAGAGAGTCTTCATAGATGACGAAAATGGAGTCTCTTCAGGCGACAAGAAGGCAGTCTCTATAGAAGGAAGTCTCCATAGACGACATCAAGGAAGTCCCTATAGCTGAACAAGGGGACTCCCTTACGCTAATATTATTTTAAAATTTGTATTCAATCAATTTAAAAACTCACCTCTTCGATAGCTTCCTGTAAAGGCTTTCCAGCAGCCTGGGCCATTGCAATGGGCAATTGTTCGATGATATCATTAGCCAGCGTTGTTGTTGGCCCATTTGTGATGTTGTTACTGTTATTATTGCTATTAGTGGTGGTTGTATTATTATTTATAGATGGTGTCGATGTTGTACAATTGCTTATTGAAGTATTTGGCGATGTTGGCGTTGAACTATTATTTGTGATGTTAAGTGAACTGCTGTTGATACTGTTGCTAGTTGAATTTAAGTGATTACTGCTGCCGCTACACGTACTATTATTGCCCGAATCCTGGAACGAGGTATTCGCCAGCGGCGGTGATGTTGACGCAGCCGTATGTGATGCATCCGATGATGTTGAGGTTGTACGATCCTTGACAAAGGTGCCATCGGGACGTACTAAAATTTGTTTGGTGCCGATTATCTGGAAAAAAGAAAAAAAAAACAAATAGGAAGTTAATTAAAAATGAAAATTCATAAATAAAAGAAAAATAATAAAATTAAGTAAATTTTGCGAGCTAAAGGGAGACTTTATAGACAATATAATAGGAGTCTTTATAGACGAGCTGGTGGGAGTCTTTATAGAGAAGATGAAGGTAGTCTTCATAAAGGGAGATGGAGGGAGCCTTTATAGATAAACTGAATCAAGTCTTTATAGACGAGCTGGTGGATGTTTTAAAGACGATAAGGAGAGTATCTATAGATGAACTGAAAGGAGTAGATGGACTGGAGGGAGTCTTTATAAAAGAGATGAATAATGTCTTTAAAGGCACTCTGACGAGATGAGGGGAGTCTTTATAGACGAGCTGAGGGGGTCTTTATAGGCGACCTGATGGGAGTCTTTATAGACGAGTTGAGGGGAGTCTTTATAGACGAGCTGAGGGGTGTCTTTATAAACGAGCTGTGACAAGTCTTTATAGGCAATCTGAGTAAGATTTTTTAGAGAAGCTATAGGGAGTCTTTATAGACGATCCGAAGGGGTATTAAGAGATGAGGTGGAGGGAGTTTTAATAGACGGACAGTAGGCAACATTATAGGTAGATTGAAGTGTTTATTTTTTTTTACTAAAACCTCAAATAATGACTTAAGAACTATCAAAATATAATGATTGCAAACAAATAATACAAAGACCGGAAACCAGAATTATTTTCTTTTTTATAATAAATACTTATTTTAAATAATTACAAAAACCAACAAACTTCGGGTATTGATTTAGCCACTGACGTTGTGAATTCCACCTGTACACCATACATTATTTTGCAACAGTTTTCATTGGAGGAATATTCCATTCAACACGTTTAGTTTTGCTTTACATTTTCATTTATATTTGCTTCATTTCTTTGTTATTTATTTTTTGTTATACTTGTGGTCATATAATTCCTCTATGCCAAATTGCGACAATAACACACATTGACGTTTTGTCTTTGTTTTTTCTTCTTCACTTTCCATTATGGATTCGTACAGGTTTTGACCCCGAATTCTCGGACAAAAAAATCGAAGTCGAAGAAGAATGGGTGGCTAGGTAAACGCATGCAGATCTTGAGGGTTGTCGCCATCGTGTTTTTGTTTTTTTTCTGTCGTTCAAGTAAAACTTATAAATATTTCATTTTCCAATGTGTTGCTGGAATATGTATTGTTTTTTTTCAATATTTTATTTGATTTTTTTTTTTGTTCCTTTAAAGAACAACAAAATATTCCATTGTGGTATTGAATTTGTTACACAAACATATCTGCATATATATGTTCTAGTGTAGGGCATATACCGGGTACTTAAAATGTAATCGACTGAGACATTTTATTTGACGAGCTGAAGAGAGTCTTTGTGGACGAATTGAAGTGAGCCTTTGTAGACGAGCTGGAGGAAGTCGTTATAGACGAGTTTAACGGAGTCTGTAGGTGAGCTGGAGGGGGTCTTTATAGAAGAGATGAAAGGAATATTTATAGACAAGTTGAAGGGAGTCTTTGTAGACGAGCTGGAAGTTGTATTTGTAGACAAGCTGGAGGGAGTTTTTATAGACGCCATAGAGTGAGTCTTTATAGACGAGGTGGAGGGAGTCTTTATAGACGAGCTGGAGGGAGTCTTTATAGATGAGCTTGAGAGTCTTTATAGACGAGCTTGAGAGTCTTTATAGACAAGCTGGAGGGAGTCTTTATAGACGAGGTGGAGGGAGTCTTTATAGACAAGCTGAAGGGAGTCTTTATAGACGAGCTGGAGAGAGTCTTTATAGACGAGCTGGAGGGAGTCTTTATAGACGAGCTGGAGGGAGTCTTTATAGACGAGCTGGAGGGAGTCTTTATAGACGAGCTGGAGGGAGTCTTTATAGACGAGCTGGAGGGAGTCTTTATAGACGAGCTGGAGGGAGTCTTTATAGACGAGCTGGAGGGAGTCTTTATAGACGAGCTGGAGGGAGTCTTTATAGACGAGCTGGAGGGAGTCTTTATAGACGAGCTGGAGGGAGTCTTTATAGACGAGCTTGAGAGTCTTTATAGACGAGGTGGTGGGAGTCTTTATAGACAAGCTGAAGGGAGTCTTTATAGACAAGCTGAAGGGAGTCTTTATAGACGAGCTGGAGGGTGTCTTTATAGACGAGCTGGAAGGAGTCTTTATAGACGAGCTGAAGGGAGTCTTTATAGACGAGCTGGAAGGAGTCTTTATAGACGAGCTGGAAGGAGTCTTTATAGACGAGCTGAAGGGAGTCTTTATAGACGAGCTTGAGAGTCTTTATAAACGAGCTTGAGAGTCTTTATAGACGAGCTGGAGGGAGTCTTTATAGACGAGCTGGAGGGAGTCTTTATAGACAAGCTGAAGGGAGACTTTATAGACGAGCTGGAGGGAGTCTTTATAGACGAGCTGGAGGGAGTCTTTTTAGACGAGCTGGAGGGAGTCTTTATAGACGAGCTGGAGAGGGTCTTTATAGACAAGCTGGAGGGATCTTTATAGACGAGCTGGAGGGATTCTTTATAGACGAGCTGGAGGGATTCTTTATAGACGAGCTGGAGGAAGTCTTTATAGACGAGCTGGAGGGAGTCTTTATAGACGAGCTGGAAGTTGTATTTATAGACAAGCTGGAGGGAGTTTTTATAGACGCCATAGAGTGAGTCTTAATAGACGAGCCGGATGGACTCTTTATAGACGAGCTGGAGGGAGTCTTTATAGACGAGCTGGAGGGAGTCTTTATAAAAGAGATGGAAGGAATTTTTATAGGTGAGTTGAACGGAGTCTTTATAGACTTTGTAGACGAGCTGGAATCCTTATAGAAGAAATGGAAGAGGCATCTATAGACGAACCAAAGTAGCAGTAAACTGTCTTTATATACCACATGAAGGTGGCCTTTATAGACCAGTTGATGGATGTCCTTATATATATGATGGTTGTCTTTATAGACCAGAGACCGACCTAAGGCTGTCTTTGTGGACCAGCTGAGGCTGTCTTTATATAGTAACTTGTAGAAGATCTATCAAAACTCTATTGGTTTTATGAAACAGCATCGAAAATTATTGAAAAAAATAGAACAGACCCCTATTAGTATCATGAGCCAGTATCGAAAAATATTGAAAGAAAATGGGACATGATTCTAAAACAGTCTTGCTTCGAAATCTTAATAAAAACCTTGATATAATTATTCGAAAAAATTAAACAACATAATAAAAATATATGTTCCTTAATCCCCTTGAAAATCGAACAATAATTTTTATATTTCTTCTCAATTAACATAAAATTAATTATATAAATATTTATTGTTAACCATAAATTGAGATCTGATTAAGTGGTGCAATAAAATTGCCGTATTATTATTTGAAATGAAAATGAAAGTTCCCCAAAAAGGACAATGGAATATAAATGTTGAAGCGAGTTTTTTTATCAAAAATTCCTTAGACAGAGGATTTACTACCTTAGCTTAAACCAAAAACTTCAGTTATGAGTCATTTGCTGAAAACAAGCTCAAAGTGAGAGTCAGGCTATTTTCTTAAATTGTATTTTTGCAAAAAACAAAACAAGAAAATTAAATTTTTACAATAAAAATAGCTTTGACGTAATGTTGCACAGTGGTTACGAATTCAAAGAAAATTCGATGAAAAATTAATATATTTTAAAAATGAGCTCTTATAAGATAAATAAAGGCTTAAAAAATTTGAATTCAAACGAAGACTATAAACTCCAGTTTTTGATCGTAATTCCCTTACAGGATTGAACTAATTTAATAATTAATGCCGAGAGATATTGGCCTTCTAATCTTTGGTGAATAAATTGAGCTATTAATATTGTTCAGGACCAGACATAGACAATTACTAAAGTTTAGTCTCACCTATTAATATGTCCCTTTTATGGCAAAATTGCTTTCTCATTGCTACCAAATTAATTATTTTAATTATTTGTTTCCCAGGAACCCACTGTGTGTATTATATTATGACGATCATCCTCTAAGAGTTATTGAAATGATGGTTATAAAGCTTTTTTACTTTGTATTCACATTGTTTATGACTTCAAGTATAACTTCAACAAGTTCAACTTGAAAAAAAAATAACAAATCATATTATAACAATAAAAAATCACTTTATTGCGTGTTGAGTTTCTCATTCGGCTGCTGTCAAGTTTATCATTCTGACACAATGATGAGACGCGAAAGCCCAAATCATATTCACTGTTTATACAGGGCAGAAATGCAACTTTTATTATCAAACCCGAAAACGCGAAAATGCTGTAGATAAATATATAATATACTATTCTTTAAGGGGGTTCCCCACCATTTTCGTTTCAAAACATCGAATATTTTTTATTATCGAATTCGAGCCTACTATGGGCCAAGAATATCCCTTTGCAATATTTAAAAAAATCCCAAAAACTCCTGGTGTCAGTATAAGGCGGCATGTTATGTCTATACCAGCTCACAAAAAAAATTATTTTCATTTACCAATAATTAAAATCATACACATTTTTAAACAAGAGTAGGACTGTTCTCTATACCCTTCTCCCTTACCAGTCCACAAAACAATTTATTTTCATTTACCAGTCATTGCAAATCGTAAAAATTTAAAATCAATAAAGAATTCTACAGTAGACCCTTCCCTACCAGCTGAAATTTTACTTTTAGGCCTCCACTAGTTTTATTATTATTTTTTTCTATTTTTAGGTAAAATTTTTCTACTATCTTCATAATTTGTTACTTCATCATTATCAATTCATGGATTGTAAAAAAAATACACTCACACATCAACATGAATACTTAATACGATTCAATGCATTTCTAGTAAATACGCATAAAAAAATGTTTGCGTGAATACAAGCTATAGCTGTCATCTCAGTAGTGAATAATAAAATACAATAGATATAAATAAGAATTTGAAAATTGAGATTTATTTTGACTGTGACACCAGATTTCCGGAGAAAACACACACCCTTTCAAGGGTATAAATAACACATAA